TTTCTTTTTGGGGATATTCTTTCTTTTTGGGTCACCCTGCCTCGGTGGGAGACGGCCGACTTGTTGAAAAAAAAAATAAATAAAAATTATATAAAATAATATAAAAATGTGAAAAAATGGTATATCGGCAACACTTCTACAAGCGGCAGGACTCTATGTTGTCGTCAGGTGAGTATTAATTGCCAACTTTGCAGCCTCATATCTCAGTAAGTACTGACCCTAATTTTTTTTATTTTAATCCTATAACACTTAGAAAAATGTGCTATTTATTTTCATTAAAAAATTATTTTTTATTTTTCAATATATTCGGGGCACTGGGGTAGTGAACGTATATATACGTTTGGACCGTTTATGGGTTAATAAGTCTTCAATAAAGGTAAGTGTCATTTTAGTATTGTTTATTCTGCAAGTCTCATTGTTTTCTGTGTAGGGAGATGTATATTTCATGTAAAAAAATTATTTTGTTTAATACTTTTGGGTGTCTGGAACAGATTAACCCGTAAATGGTCCAAACGTATATACAGTGGACCCCCGCATACCGCACGCATCGCATACCGTGCAATCCGCATACCGCTCGCTTTGTTCGCAAAAATTTTGCCTCGCATACCGCCCAAAAACCCGCTCACCGCTCTTCGTCCAAGACGCGTCCAATGTGCGCCCTCAGCCAGCCTCACATGTTCCGCCGGTGGCATTGTATGCCAGCCAGCCTCCGCGGTAACATCCAAGCATACAATCGGAATATTTCGTATTATTACAGTGTTTTCAGTGCTTTATCTGGAAAATAAGTGACCATGGGCCCCAAGAAAGCTTCTAGTGCCAACCCTACAGGAATAAGGGTGAGAATTACTATAGAGATGAAGAAAGAGATCATTGATAAGTATGAAAGTGGAGTGCGTGTCGCCGACCTGGTCAGGTTGTATAAGAAACCCAAATCAACCATCGCTACTATTGTGGGCAACAGAAAGGCAATCAAGGAAGCTGTTCTTGCCAAAGGTTTAACTGTGTTTTTGAAACAGAGATTGCAAGTGATGGAAGATGTTGAGAGACTCTTATTGGTGTGGATAAATGAAAAACAGCTAGCAGGAGATAGCGTCTCTCAAGCGATCATAAGCGAAAAGGCTAGGAAGTTGCATGAGGATTTAATTAAAAAATGCCTGCAACTAGTGATGATGTGAGTGAATTTAAGGCCAGCAAAGGTTGGTTTGAGAGATTTAAGAAGCGTAGTGGCATACATAGTGTGATAAGGCATGGTGAGGCTGCCAGTTCGGACCACAAAGCAGCTGAAAAATATGTGCAGGAATTCAAGAAGTACATAGACAGTGAAGGACTGAAACCTGAACAGGTGTTTAATTGTCATGAAACAGGCCTGTTTTGGAAGAAAATGCCAAGCAGGACCTACATTACTCAGGAGGAAAAGGCACTCCCAGGACATAAGCCTATGAAAGACAGGCTTACTTTGTTGATGTGTTCCAATGCTACTGGTGATTGCAAAGTGAAGCCTTTATTAGTGTATCACTCTGAAACTCCCAGAGCGTTCAGGCAAAAGAATGTCCTCAAGGAGAATTTGTGTGTGCTGTGGAGGGCAAACAGTAAGGCATGGGTCACTAGGGACTTTTTCTATGACTGGTTACACCATGCATTTGCCCCCAATGTGAAAGATTACCTAACTGAAAAGAAATTAGAACTTAAGTGCCTCCTGGTGTTAGACAATGCCTCTGGTCATCCTACAGACGTGGCAGAGCGACTTTATGGGGACATGAAATTCATTAAGGTGAAGTTTTTGCCTCCTAATACCACTCCTCTCCTGCAGCCCATGGACCAGCAGGTTATTGCAAACTTCAAAAAACTGTACACAAAAGCTCTGTTTGAAAGGTGCTTTGTAGTGACCTCAGAAACTCAACCGACTCTAAGAGAGTTTTGGAGAGAGCACTTTAATATCCTCAGTTGTGTAAACCTTATAGGTAAGGCTTGGGAGGGAGTAACTAAGAAGACCTTGAACTCTGCTTGGAAGAAACTGTGGCCAGAATGTGTAGACAAAAGGTATTTTGAAGGGTTTGAGGCTAACCCTGAGAGGATTATGCCAGTTTAGGAATCCATTGTGGCATTGGGAAAGTCCTTAGGGTTGGAGGTTAGTGGGGATGATGTGGAAGAGTTGGTGGAGGAGGACAATGAAGAACTAACCACTGATGAGCTGATAGATCAACTTCAACAGCAAGAGGCCAGACCTGAGGAAACTGGTTCAGAGGAGGGGAGAGAGAAATTGAAGAAGTTGCCTACTACAAAGATTAAGGAAATCTGTGCAAAGTGGCTTGAAGTGCAAACCTTCATGGATGAAAATCACCCTCACACAGCTATTGCAAGCCGTGTTGGCAACCTGTACACTGACAATGTTGTGAAACACTTTAGGGAAGTCATAAAGGAATGAGAGGTACAGGCCACTATGGACAGATATGTTGTGCGAAAGAAGTCCAGTGACTCTGAAGCTGGTCCTAGTGGCATTAAAAGAAGAAGGGAAGTAACCCCAGAAAAGGACTCAACACCTCAAGTCTTAATGGAAGGGGATTCCCCTTCTAAACACTAACACTCTCTCTCCCCTCCTCCCATCCCATCAATCATCACCAGATCTTCAATAAAAGTAAGTGTCATGTAATTGTGCATGCCTTTTTCAGTTTGTGTGTATTAAAATTAACATTTCATGTGGTAAAATTTTTTTTTTTCATACTTTTGGGTGTCTTGCACGATTAATTTGATTTCCATTATTTCTTATGGGGAAAATTCATTCGCATACTGAACATTTCGCATAACAACCAGCCCTCTTGCACGGATTAAAGTCACTATGCGGGGGTCCACTGTATACGTTTTTTCAACATTTGAAAGTATGTAAAAAAAGTAGATCTTCTTTTTGTTTTATTACATTTGAAAATGTGTAGAAAAACTTTGATCTACTTTTTTTTTGTTATATTTGAAAATATGTAAAAAAAATGTAGATCTACTTTTGTAGCACTACACATGTGAACGTAGATCTGCTTGGACTGTTTATAGGGTTAATTGGGTTTCCATCATTTCTTATGGGGAAAATTAATTCGGATAACGACAGAATCGGTTAAAGACAAGCTCTCTGGAACGGATTAATATCGTTAACTGAGGGTGCACTGTACATGGTATACAGGCCTAGCTGACATCAATGACATACTACTGTATAGAAACCCCCTTGTTATGCTGAGCATTTCTGGCAAATTAGATCAGTTTTGTCCCAGGATGCAACCCACACCAGTCGACTAACTCCCAGGTACTCATTTTACTGATGGGTGAACAGGGACAGCAGGTGTCTTATGGAAACACGTCTGTAATGTTTTCCAGCCATACAGGAGGAGACTCGAGCTCCGGACCTCAGTATGTGAGCTGAGTGTGCTAGCGACAAACCAACAATAAATATAGTTATTTATTACTTTTGTTCTATAATATATATAATCACTGGACACGTTCCTAGAACTGTTACAGCTTCTGGAAGCTTGTTGTGTGTGAGTGGCCTTTGTTGTGGATGTGCTGAGTCAGCAGCATGGCAGGTATCACAGTGACACATTACACAAGAAACACCACCACCCATTACTCACACTTTCTTCCCCAACAAGCATGCTCTTCCCCATCACCCACATGGAAATAAGTCACTTTGTCTGACTTTTTGGGGTTATCCTAGGTTGATAGTCATCCTTCCTTCCTTCTTTCCTTCCTTCTTTCCTTCCTTCCTTCCTTCCTTCCTTCCTTCCTTCCTTCCTTCCTTCCTTCCTTCCTTCCTTCCTTCCTTCCTCCTGGTTTCCTGGGCATTGCTTTCGGTCACAAACTCCTCAAAACCATGAAATTCATCTTCACTGACACTTCCATCTGTGTGGGAGATAACCAGTGTTAAAAAAATGATAATAATAATAATAATAATACAGGCAGGTCCTGCTTTATAGCACTTTACTTTACAGTGTTTTGCTAATACAGCAGTTTTCAGTTATACCCATTTTCATTTATTCAGACTTCCTACAGTAAATATATTCACCACTTACTATAAGCTAAGGATGAAAATATTTTAAGTAATGTGTGTATTGTATATGCATTTTTTAGGCCTTTCCTTATTGCTCATTTAATATATAATACACAAACATATTATCAGACTTTTATATACATTTGAAAGTGAAGAAAGGCTATTTTTAACTTCAGCAGTAGCCCAGAACCTAACCTGCTGTACAAGTGGGCCCTCCTGTAACAATAATAATGTTGATAAATTAGACACATGTGCAACTCTTGGGTATCTTTATTGAGGAAACGTTTCGCCACACAGTGGCTTCATCAGTCCATACAAAGGAGAATCTTGAACAGGAGAATGAGGTAATCAGTCCCTCAACCTTGAGTCGATGTGGTCAGTCCATCAATCTTGAATAGAATACGGCATACGTGCTGAGAAGGAGCTTATAAACCGTTGGCAGGAGAGGTGCAGAAGTCATAGCATACACAGTAGGCTTCTTCAGTCGAGTACAGAAAAGTTGATAGAAGCAGAAGATACTTGAAGACGATGTAATCAGTCCATCACCCTTAAAGTTTTGAGGTGGTCAGTCCTCAAAACTTTAAGGGTGTTGGACTGATTACATCGTCTTCAAGTATCTTCTGCTTCTATCAACTTTTCTGTACTCGACTGAAGAAGCCTACTGTGTATGCTATGACTTCTGCACCTCTCCTGCCAACGGTTTATAAGCTCCTTCTCAGCACGTATGCCGTATTCTATTCAAGATTGATGGACTGACCACATCGACTCAAGGTTGAGGGACTGATTACCTCATTCTCCTCCTGTTCTTCAAGATTCTCCTTTATATGGACTGATGAAGCCACTGTGTGGTGAAACGTTTCCTCAATAAAGATACCCAAGAGTTGCACATGTGTCTAATTTATCAACATGTCGGTTCTCTGAACCATTCATCTACAAATAATAATGTTGTACTGATGTGTTTCAATATCAGACAGGTACCCCAAGGGCAGAGGTGTGACAAAAGGATGGTATGAGTATAAGCTTGCTCATAAAAAGAAGGCTTTCACACGTTATACAGCAAAACGTCATCACCATCCCTTATGCAGAAGACGGTTGAATAAAAGTGCCTACTCTTCCACAGACAGCCAGAACAGCATTAAAAAGAGCAGTTTCTCATCAGACAGCCAGAACAGCATTAAAGAGAGCAGCTTCTTGCAAGACAGGAAGAAGATTATCATGAATAAACGTGAGTTTGCTGTTAAAATGAAGGCTTTTTCAGATGATATAGCAAAATATCATCACTATTACTCATGCAAAAGACAGATGATTAAGAGTGTCTACTCTTCCACTGATATCCAAAAGAGCATTTCCTTTTTTGGGACGGAAAAGGGAATTTACCAAGGGAAACCCTTTTTTTCAACACCAAGAGCAATATTAAGGGGGGGCTGCTCTCTTCAAAAAAAAGAAGATTAAAAACTTAAACTAATTTGCTGCTTGCCATCTCTCATGCAAAAGGCAAGTATACGATCGCCCTCTTCCACAGACACTACCTTCAAAAAGGGAAAAACCTAAGAAAGCTGCTTCTCTTCAACAGTAGATTATAAAAGGGGCCCAAATGTCATTTTTCAAAGGGATGGTGCAAAGGGACCTTCTTTAACCATTGAGGAAAAACTCAGAAAATTCAAAAACTCCCTGGACCTCCATTTCGATTCTTTAGAAGACACCAAAGAGTCTCACGTTATTTCAAAAGAATAAAGGAAAAACCCAAGGGGAATATCAAAGATGTCTCTCCCTTCGTTCAGACAAAATGGAGAAGTCCAAAAACTTTTTTCCCCTTTTCTTTGACAAAATGGAGAATATCAAAAATTCTTTACTTTTCTTTAACAATATGGGGAAAATCAAGAAAATCTTTTTTCCCCTTTCCCTTTTAGAAAAAAAGGGGAAAACAAAAGATTTTTGCCTTCCCAGACAGTAAGGGAAAATCAAGGCTCCCTCCCTTCTCTTTAGATAACATGGGGAATATCAAGAAAATTTTTTCCTTCTTTTTAGACAACATGAAGAGTATCAAAAGAGTCTCTCCAGAAAGCAAGGAGAACATCAAGGAAGCCTCTCCCTACTCTTTAGACATTATTAATTTTAATTCTGATTCCTCAGATAATTCTGAGACTTACCTATCACATAAAACGAAAAAAAACACCGGGAATTACAGCTCTTCATCAGAGAACTCCAGTTCTAATCAACCAGCTGGCTATGTCAAGGATCGTTATAGATATTTAAGCAAACCCAAGATAATTATCAAGAAAGCCTTTGTTCCTGTATACCTAAGTGACAGTTCTACTGAGTATACTGTGAAGCACTATTATTGTGCAGAAAATAAAAGTAAGTACCGTGGTGAAAAAACGAAGAGAGAAGCGAATGGTACAAGGTAAGTTCTTGTTACCCTATTTATACAATAATTTAAATGCGTGTGTGTGCATGTGTGTGTGTGTGTGTGTGTGTGTGTGTGTGTGTGTGTGTGTGTGTTGTGTGTGTGTGTGTGTGTGTGCATGCATGCATGCATGCAAGTGCACAAGGCAACCACAGGGTAGGAGAATGTTGTTCAAGGCCTTTTGTGTTGCAAAAGCAACAATTCTTCAGGAGCAGTGCAGAAGATCCCAAGCAGATGTCTGGTAAAGCAGTCCTGGCAGGGCCAGGAGTTGTGACTTAACCCATGTAACCGCATATAGGTGAACATGCACATGAGCACATGCACACAAACACACACACACAAGCACAGGGATGTTAGGAAGTATTCAGTCACAGAGTTGTCAGGAAGTGGAATAGTCTGGGAAGTGATGTAGTGGAGACAGGATCCATACATTGCTTTAATAGAAGAATGATAAAGCTCATGGAGCAGGAAGAGTGACTCAGTAGCGGCCAGTGAAGAGGTGGGGCCAGGACCCCTGCAACCACAAGTAGGTGAGTACATATGTATGTACACACACACGAAGTACAGTCTAGAGGGCCAGAGATTACAAACCTCACTCAAGGAAAAAGATCTAGGGGTGAGGAGGATGACAAAGATGATCCCATGTATGAGAAATCTTCCCTATGAGGATAGACTGAGGGCCCTGAATCTGCACTCTCTCGAAAGGCATAGAATTAGGGGGAATATGATCGAGGTGTATAAATGGAAAACAGGAATAAATAAAGGGGATGTAAATAGTGTGCTGAAAATTTCCAGCCAAGACAGGACTCGCAGCAATGGTTTCAAGTTGGAAAAATTCAGATTCAGGAAGGATATAGGAAAGCACTGGTTTGGTAATAGAGTCGTGGATGAGTGGAACAAACTCCCGAGTAAAGTTATTCAGGCTAAAACGTTGTGTACTTTTAAAAATAGGTTAGATAAATACATGAGTGGGTGTGGGTGGGTGTGAAATGGACCTGACTAGCTTGTGCTGCTGGGTCCGGTGCCGTGCTCCATCCTTGAGTGGAGGTGACCAGACTGGGTG